TCTTGCAAGTCTTCTCGGTAAATCCCAAAACGAAATCAGTAATAAACTACATCATCTACATTCGGTCTTGAACATTCCTAAGGATACAAACGCACCCGTTCGACCGCTACATCTCTCGTTCCGGGAGTTCTTGATCGACCCTGAAAAGGAGGATAGCGATCTATGGTTCTGGATCAATGAGAAGGAAACGCATTCGGCCATTGCAAAAAGGTCTCTCATTGTATTATCCGAACATATTAAAGGAAATATTTGTTCTTTAGGGTTCCCGGGGATGCTACGAAAATATCTCGATACCGAAATAATAAATGAGCGCCTACCCGCATATGTTCAATATTCTTGTCGCTACTGGGTATACCATTTGAAAGAGAGTGGTGAATCTATATCCGATACACATGTGGCCTATACTTTTCTATGCAGCCACTTTTTATACTGGATTGAGGCCCTAAGTCTTATAGGGGGGTTGTCCGACTATATCTGGTTGATCGATACTTTACGCTCGATTACAGACGTATGCTATCCCGCTGTTCACATCATCGTGACCTTATTCCTTCTTCATATTGTCAAAGCTTCTATATGCTAATATAAATGGATTAGAATAACGAAGGACCCGAAGCATTACGCTTTCTTCATGATGCTAAACGCTTTCTTCTACAGAGTTGGCGAATAGTTGATCAAGCTCCACTTCAACTTTATTCTTCTGCGATTATTTTTAGCCCAGAGACAAGCATTATCAAAGCCAGATTCCGAAACCATATTCCAAGAGAGATTTGTATGTTACCGAAAGTCCAGCAATTCTGGGGCGCAGAACTACAAACATTGGAACACGAAGGGACAGTTGCTGCGATTGCCTTCTCCCCTGATGGTGCGTGGTTAGTGTTAGGGTCGGATGATGGAATAATTATTGTTTGGAATGCGGTAACAGGGGAAGAGGTGAAACGGTTGAAAGGATATAATTTAATTTGCGTAATTGCTTTCTCTTCTGATAGTACACGATTGGCATCGGCGTTGGGTGATGGAATAATTATACTATGGGATATAATAACAGGGAAGGAGATAAAACAGTTAACAGGACATGATGAAGTTACAGCGGTCACTTTCTCTTCTGATGGCACGCAGTTGATATCGATGTCGAGAGATGGAATAATTACGTTCTGGAATACGACAACGGGGGAGGAGGTGAAACGGTCGAAAGGATATAGTGAATGGACCGGGGCAGTCGCCTTTTCCCCTGATGGCACGCAGCTTGTATCGGGGTCGGTTAATGGAATAATTATATTCTGGGACGTTGCAACGGGGGAGGAGGTGAAGCAATTGAAAGTGAATCAAAATCATTTGGTTGGCGCAATCGCCTTTTCTCCTAACGGCGAGCTGTTAGCATTGGCGTCGATCAGTGGAACAATTGAGCTCTGGGATATAGAGGGGGGGCTGAAACGGTTGTCCATGGAAAGGCATGGTTGGATTGACGCGGTTGCTTTCTCCCATGACGGCACCCGATTAGCATTGGGATTAGATGGTGGAATAATTAGACTCTGGGATATGGAGGGGGGAGGCGGAACAATTGGGAGGAGATGGCAGGCGGGTTTGGACGGTTGCTTTCTCCCCTGACGGCACGCGGTTAGCATCCGCATCAGATGGTGGAATAATTAGGCTCTGGGATATGGAGGGGGAGGTGAAAGAATTGGGAGGACATGGCGGGCGGGCTTGGACGGTCGCTTTCTCCCCTGACGGCACGCGGTTAGCATCCGGTTCGTTTGATGGGATAATCGGGCTCTGGAGTGTAGCGGGAGGGGAAGTAAAACTGTTGAAAGTGTTCGGCTGGGTGCCGAAGGTTAAGGAAATTGCCTTTTCCCCTAATAGTGAGCGACTAGTATCAGTATTAAGTAACGGAACAGTAAAGCTTTGGGATATGGAAGGGAATGGGGTCAAAGAGTTAAAAAAAGATTATTTATATAATGGGCGAATTCGGGTTGAGCAGCAGGTTGAGACAGTTGCCTTTTCTCCTGACGGCAAGTGGCTGGCATTAGGATCCGGTGATGGAATAATTAGACTCTGGAATATAGAAAAAGAGGAGATGAAACGATTAGCAAGACATGACGGATGGGTTGCGGCGGTCGCCTTTTCCCTTGACGGCACGCGGTTGGTATTGAGGTCGGAGGATGGAATGGTCAGTGTCTGGGAAATAGCAACGGCGAGGGCAGTGGGAAGCTTTACCCTGCAATATAGGACCACCAGTTTAGAATTTTCTAGTGACGGTGGATGTTTACTAACCGATAGAGAAATTCTCGTTATCTCTCCTGGCTCCAACTCTTCCCTCCCGCCACTTCCGCAAAAGCCAGGTCATATCTTTCTTGACGGTGAATGGATAGCTCGAGATGGCCAAAATTTTCTTTGGTTACCGCACAATTATCGAGGTTCCTGTTCAGCCATACGAGAAAAGACCATTGCAATTGGACAGGAGTCTGGAGAAGTTAGTCTTTTCAGATTTGCATAGCGACCACTCTAGTTTTTTATATTAATTCGAGATGTATGTACATCCAATACATATACATGTTGTCTCGTAAACCAGAGCTAGCCGAAGTATACATGATGTTGTGTGTCGTTCTGTTATTTATATCCACCTGCGTATTTATACTGATACTGATACCCAGAGATCTTTTCAGTTTCGGTGCCTCCCTTCTGGTACCGTGTGAGTAGAGGGTTCGATCATAAGACTTTCATTGCACGAGCTAGATCTATAGAGCAGTTGCGGAGACTGAAGCTTTGAAGTCCTGCGGGTTCAGATCGATTACAATATATCTCAACCGATAAGTTTTGCGTGGCGGCTTCACTGTTACAGAGTTGCATTATCTAGGTACTTACATACCATACCATCTTTTCAACGGCATTCATTGCCCCATGATATATATCACTAACGTAACCGCCGCTGCCGCCCCTACACGCTACAAACGCAACTCCCGCTGTCGTGACCGTTATATACGTTATCTGAGCTGTTCTGATGCCGCAATCGCTGTTACTGTATATAATATATAATTATCACTCCTAGGACTCCGGGGATGTAGTTATTTAGTTGTTACAATTTTCCCCGCCATAGGATTCACTCTCGAAATCTTGTTTATGAACAGAACTATCCTACTCACCAGAATCCCCACAATAAGGACATTCAGAACCAGGGTAAGCAGAGCCGTTGGAGCTTTTACAGCCTTTGGGTTCCAAGCTGTTGCATCTGGTTCTTCTAATTTGTTGCTTACGTAACCGGCACACTTCGCTATTGCGCAATTGCATGTGGCTCGCGAGCTCCACCCCAAAATGCAATATCAGGGACACTGGAAGATCTAGAGAATGTACTGAAACTGTTCAAATTCTCAAGAAGTAATCAGCTCTTGACGATTACTGAGTTAGTAGGCTAGCAAGCAACGTTCTGCCATTTATAAATTTATTCAACTCAGCCCAGCGCTAATATAATATCAGCGGCTCCGGGGTACGTGTGGTTTACAAAAATAGAAAAGAAAACGAGCTATGGAGCATAGGACCGGTACCGGTTCGTTCTCTAGCTTGCTTGTTGGGCCCCCAAGGGCCCCCGCCATCCCAACTATTAACACACTCCATTTCTAATGTACTTAAAATCTTTCTTCGCGATTAAACTGTGGGCTGAGGTTCCTAAAGCCATTCTTTCCGGTTAAAAGAGCGATGATTATTATATATAGGTGATATATCAGTTGGTAAACTACTTAATGAATCTACTGGTTGCCGAAAGGTACGTATGTACATACATATGTTTCTGTTGTGATTGCGGTTAGAGCCATTGTCATCATACCAATTATTCTGACCCATATATAGAAGAATTAAAGATCGCAAACCCTAGACAGGAAGAATAAACTTAGGTACCGGTTCTGCATGACAAAGTCTATGTTATGACTAACGCAACTAATTCTAACTCTCTAGTGACAAGGCCATCACTGAATGAATGAAAGAGGCCACGCAAGCTTTCTTAACGTTCACACCATAGTGTATTCTAGTTCCCAATTTAAACCACAATATTTACTATGTAACTTTTTATATCTATATATTGGGCAAAAGAAATATTATGTATGTTGTGAATCCACGGTGGGTTAACCCAAGAGCTGACAATTTGTACGTTCGGGACCCGGGAGTCCCAAGCCCCGCGGCAATCACACGAGTCGTATGGGCGGTATGATCCTCAAACTTTATAGCATTAGGCACGTTAGTCATCAGGATAGTCTTGTTTATGTTACAGGTAGGAAACACCATCCACGGCTGTGTAATTTAATGTGCCGGTATACGGTTATATTTTAATAAACGAAAAAAAAAAAAAAAAACGATTGCTCGTGGTTTTGCATATGCGCATGGGCGGGCGTGGTCGTGATATTAAGGCATTAATATAGCTTTTGGGCTGTTTGTAGGTGTCGATGACGCACCACGGTCTAGTTAACTAGTGTAACTTGGGAATAGATAGGACCATTCGTGCGCTGAGTGTTCCGCCGAGGCAGCGGTATCCTCTAAGGCATGCGCGTATGCTAGCTTCTGGCGAGCAAATGAATTTGATTCAGGGGGGGTCCATGGCGAGTGTATACGTATGTGCGTATATGTACTGTAGAAAAGATGCGCGGGTGTGAGCGCGTTAGGCTTTACCTGCGAAAAAGCAAGGCCGCTTGTATACTTAGCTACATAGTATATTATATTATTGAGGGTGCATATATAATAGGCGGTATGGAATCCAGCGGAAGTCATCTATATTTAGATATGAGTTCATGGAGATGTCCAATTAATACCGTTACGAGTCTAGTTAAGGTATGCCAGGCACTCGTTCAATTGACGTATGGCCTTGTGGGGATATGGTCCGGTTGTGCGTATTTTCGGGTATTGGCCGGCCCGAATTTGTGACAAAGCTTAGTTTTGGGCTCTTTATAAGGACAAATAAAAGGTATCTGTCATGAGTTGTTGCAAGGACTGTCTGGTTCAGTGGACTGAACCAATCATCTTCTCAGATGGTCCAGTGGCTAAGATTTCCGCCTGTCATTGGTTGCTCGCGGACGACCGGGGTTCGATTCCCCGTCTGAGAGTCTTCTTTTTTGCCACATTTGTGTAGCTTTTTGAACATTTTTCGACTGGCAATCAAACAAGAAACAAATACGTTTGGTTTGTCGTAGCGTTGGATGACAGAGCTTGTTGGACAAACAAATCACTCGTTCCGGACTGATCCCATGATCAGATGATGAAAATACACTCGACGCACGAGTAGCCCCGCCTCAGTGAAACCTAAGACCTCCTGGTCTACACAACCTACTCTGGTACTAGCTTGAAACTACAACTAGCAAGAAATATACGAAGTACCTAGTTTGCTATCAATCTAAAAACCAAGCTAACGAGTCTATGGCGACCAATCTACAAGAAACGACTACTCTGTGCTCTGCTAGGCGTCGGTCATTATTCTTGGTGGCCAAATGTCAGCGCGGGGCCGATTCGGCCTTTTATGACCCATTCAAATTATTTATTTATTTTTTCAGAATTATTTACGGAGAGATAAACGATAGATAGCCTTCCAGTTTTATGACCTGTTGTGTTCTTGACCCGGTCCACGTCGTCTGAGGCTTGGGTGAAGCCCGCCGAGACTTGGCGGCTTTGTCGAATGTATTCTGGCAGCCTCGTCAACCCCGCCTCCTGTTAAGGGTGCTGGATTGATTTTACTGTGATTTTATAGAGCAAACTAGTAGCCCCTATTCTTCTAAAATATACCTCCGCCCCTACGTCCCGATACAAACCCGGTATATACAACGTTTAAGCTTTCAGTTTTATTTACCTGCTGCCAGGAATACTGCATTCCACAGCATATACACACGGAATCTTCAGGTTGCTCATTCCAGCAGCGCCTCCCTGACGCGGCTCCTGGTCACCGTTATCACCTCTGACCCCGCGGCCGCCTCTTAGGGTAGGTGGCGGCCTCTGCATGGTCTGTGCCCGGAACGTTAACCATAACGGCCAAATCTAGTTGAGGGTTACTGCGTGTTTTCGTCTTGGAAATATCACAAAGCTATCGCTCCCAACCTCAGAAACATTCAGGCTAGTGGCTCGGGCCGTGGTGGGGCGCCTTTTCTACGGCACGAGGCGTGATAACCAACACCTACACAAACAACACAAATTTACGGAAACGATCTCCTTCCGACCAGCAGGGGCTTTGTGAGCTTGTTTACTGATAGATATGGAGGAAGCAGACGAGCTTCATAAATTCTTTTACTCAAGTTATGAGGAGACGGGTCAAATAGGAGCTCTTGATATTGCGATTGTTATGGCAGAAGGTTTGCTAGGGGATACACCAGAAGACGATTTAGCTCGAGCGGTCCATCTCAACAACATATCTGTTTATTATGGAAGTCGTTACATGAGGCTCGGAGGTCAGGAAGACCTAGAAAAGGCTATAGCTGCTGCTGAGGAAGCCGTCGCAGCTACTTCTGATGAGCACCCAGACAAACCAGGAACTCTTACCAACCTTTCGAACTACTACAATCTAAAGTTTGATGAACTTGGAAATGAGAATGATTTAGAAAAAGCCATAGCGATTGTGGAACAAGCTATTGAACTTATTTTTGATGACAGCTCGAAGAAAGCGTCATGTCTTAACAACCTCTCAAATTACTATAGCTCCAAATTTGAGAGATTCGGAAGACAGGAAGATCTAAAGAAGGCAGTAGCTGCTGCTGAGCAGGCCGTCGATATCGCTCTCGCTTCCGAAGACAATCCAGATAAGGCGGCATGTCTCAACAATCTCTCGAATCGCTATAGCTCCAGATTTAATATGTACGGAAAGCTGGAAGATCTCGAGAAAAGTATAATTACAGCTGGAAAAGCCGTTCTTATGACTCCTGAAAACAGCCCGGACTTTGTTGGTCATATTACTAATCTCTCAACTCATTATAATTCTAGATTTAACACACTCAGAAATCGGGAAGATCTTGAGAAAGCTATAGCCACAGCTGAACGGGCTGTATCTATTGCTCTTTCAGAAGAAAGCTTAAGTCTTGCTGACTGTCTCATTAATCTTTCAACCTGCTACAATTCTCGATTTCATAGCTTTGGTATACAAGAGGATCTCGAAAAGGCTATAACTGCCGCCGAGCAAGCCGCTGCAGCCACTGCTGATAACAGTCCGGATAGAGCAAAATGTCTTAGCAATCTCTCGAACTATTATAGCTTGAAGTTTGATACTTTCGGAAATCAGGAAGATTTAGAAAGAGCTATAAACGCCGCGGAGAAAGCCATCGCATCCATTCCCAATAATAGTACTAGCCCGGGTAGAACGGCGTGTCTTATCAATCTTTCAACCCATTACGGTTCTAAATTCAACAGACTCGGAAGTCAGGAAGATCTCGACAAAGCCATAACTATCGCAGAAGAGGTCATCGCCACTACTACCGAAGACGATCTGAGCAGAGGCGCCTGCTTTAACAATCTTTCTAATTACTTCAGCTCCAGATTTAATATACTTGGAGATCAAAAAGACTTTGAAAGAGCTATAGTTACTGCAGAGCAAGCCGTTGCTGCTACTTCTGAAGATAGTCTGGAGCTTGCTAGCCGTCTTAACAATCTTTCGAACTGTTATGTCGTTAAGTTCGAGACACTAGGAAAGCTGGAAGATTTGGAAAAATCCGTTGCGACAGCGGAGCGGGCTGTAGCCGCGATCAGTGACAGCAACCCACAGAGAGCAGTCTATCTCAATACTCTCTCAAATCAATATGACACTAGATTTGACACAATTGGAAATTGGGAAGATTTGGAGAAGGCTTTGACTGCTTCAGAACAGGCCGTTGCTGCTACTACTGAGAACAGTCTGAACAGAGCTGCGTGTCTTCACAACCTCTCGAACCGCTATATTTCCAAATTCGATAGACTAGGAAGGCCGGAAGATCTAGATAAAGCGATAGTCATCGCGGAGCAAGCAGTCACTATTACCTCAAATAGCTGCCCAAACAAGCCTACATATTGGAATGCTCTGTCGTGCCACTATGGTTATAGATTTGACAGATTTGGAAAGTTGGAAGATCTTGAGAGGGCTATAGTTGCCGCTGAACAAGCAATCGCAAATATCTCTAACGAAAGTATAAATAGGCCTGCCTGTCTCAGCACGCTCTCGGACTTATATGTCTCTAGATTTGATATGCTAGGGGGGCTGGAAGACTTGCAGAAAGCTATAACCGCCGCGAAAGAAGCCGTCGCTGCTACCCCTGAGAGTAGTGTCTGGAGACCTGCTTATCTGAACACCCTCTCAAACGCCTATAATTCTAGGTTTAATAGACTTGGAAGACAAGACGATCTGGAGGAAGCTATAGCTGCTATAGAACAATCAGTAGCTAGCACTTCTAACGATAATACGGAATTAGCTAGACGACTTCATAGTCTGTCATTCTGTTATAATTCCAGGTTTAACAGGCTCGGAAGATTGGGGGATCTTGAAATGGCGGTGTCTGCTGCTGAGCGAGCTGTCGCTGCTACATCCAAGGAAAGCTTTGGTTTTGCCGGTCATCTTAATAATCTGTCAATCTGCTATAATTCTAGGTTTGATAGACTTGGGAAGCAGGAAGATTTGGAGAAGGCCGTAATAGTTGCTGAACAAACTGTTGCTGCTACTCCAAGTGACAGCCCGGACCTTGCTGACCACCTTAATAATCTATCAAATCGCTACAGCTCCAGATTCGACAGCCTTAAAAATGAAGAAGATCTTGAGAATTCCGTGGCTGCGGCAGAGCAGGCTGTTGTTGCTACTGATAATGCTCTGAAAAAACCCGCATATCTTAATACTCCCTCAAATCGTTACAGTTCCAGATTTGACAGACTAGGGAAGCTAGAGGATTTGGAGAAGGCTATAACTGTGGCAGAACAGGGAATTGCTGCCACTCCTAATAATAGTTCGAGCCTTGCCGGCCGTCTCAGCAACCTCTCAGACCACTACACCTCCAGGTTCGACAGGCTTGGGAGACAGGAGGATATGGAGAAGGCCATAATTCGACTCAAGGAATCCTTTTCAATATTATATGTCTCGCCGTTATCTAGAATACAGAAAGGCAAACGACTCGCCCAATTATATCATCACCAAAAGGACTACGCCGAAGCTGCCGATGTTGCAGCTGATGCCACTTTCCTCCTGCCACGCGTCAGTCCGAGATATCTCCCTCGCCGCGATCACGAATACGTCCTTTCTCAAGCCAATGGTCTTTCAGCTCTTGCCTGTTCGTTGGCCTTGCATGCCGGGAAGCCCGCAAGGGTAGCCTTCGATTTGATTGAAACCGGTCGGGGTGTGATAGCAGGCCTCACTATCGACTATCAGAGTGATGTTTTTACCCTCCGAGAACACGACCCCGATCTCTATGACCGCTATGAAAGTTTGAGATATCGACTCTCCGCAGTACCATCCGATGAGACTGATATCCCCTCGGAAAAGAAATCGGGAGAACGAGATGACGATCGCCTCTTTTACATAGAACGGGAACTTACGAAAATTGAGGATGAAATTCGAGAGATACCTGAATTTGCTGGATTTCAACTACCTCCTAACATGGAAGAGCTGAAGGCTCTGGCTAGCGAAGGGCCCCTCGTGGCCTTCAACATCACTGGCATACGCAGTGACGCCTTGATAATCACCAACAAGGGAACAAAAGCTCTCGCCCTAGAAAACCTTGATCACTCTGAAGCCGAGCGCATGTTGTCGACCCTAAGCCAAATGTCTAGCCAAAGCTTAAAAAAAGTAGCCGAAAATAACAAGCAGATGAAAGAAATCTTGAAGTGGCTTTGGTTAGCTGCGGTGAAGCCGGTACTCGGGGAATTGGGCTTTTTGGAACGGAATCAGACTCCAGACAAATGCCACACACTACCTCGGATTTGGTGGGTCACGAACGGGATCATGAACGGCGCGCCCCTTCACGCTGCTGGGGTATATGACGACGGTAACGGGGGGGATCCCATGGAAAGTGCGATGGATTTCGTGATATCTTCTTATATTTCGACAGCCAAAGCATTGAGGTTTGCAAGAGATAAAATACAAAAGCTTCAGATCGGAACGGAGGGGCAGGCT